TGAGTAATGTCGGCGAAATAGGTGGTCATTGCTGGGATTACTTGGAAACGCAGCTTTTGCGGTCCAGAATAGAGCGGACGAAATTCCTCGAGACAGTTCCGTCCGTCTGGGAAGGACAGGAACATTTAGAGCTTCGTTTGCTTAGAACACCCATGAGGTCCAGTCTCAATAAACATCTGCCTTCTTTTACCCCCTATGTTGCTTTATTTTCTACTTCTTTACGTTTCCCATGACAAAATCCATGTTCAGTGTGATATCTCCGGTGAAAATGTGCGTAAAGTACGATGGGCTTTCTTGACGGTTCGGCTACTGCGAGTTCTACGGGTGATCCGAATAGCCAAATTGGGACGATTCTCCCCAGGTAAGTTCATTTTTAACTGAACCTAAAGGCAGATTTCACGATAACTAGTTGGACCGAGTACTCACGAGTATGCGCCTTTCTCATTGGTGCATTCCTTCATCTGAATCCGATTCCACAGAATGCACCCTTCATATCACCGAGATAGAATGGGCGTGGCTGGGTACTTCACTTGAACGTACCAGTGGCTGTGCTTTTGACAGGATATTGTCGTTTTAGAACAACTGCGCCTTTGCCCAGCACAAGATAATGCCAATTTTTCGAACTGAAGACACCAGGAAAAACATATCCCACGCACGTTCAAACAAAATACGCAACCACCGCCCCACCCATTTGCTTTGCGTCCTATAGGATCTCAGATTTTTGCGCGCATGAAAGTAAAACAGAATTTTCAAGGTTTCCTCAGCGATCATTTACAGGCCAATTTCGCATTGACAATACGAAAGTCTAAAAAGCAAATGCAAATGGTGGGCGTGGTCATGGTTACGGTAGTGATCTTCTTTTCGACACTTATCTATTTCCTGGAGCGAGACGAAGCGGACACCAAGTTTACCAGTATACCTGCAACATTCTGGTGGTAAGCGCTTTATGATACCCAAAATCGTCCAGCAGATCAATATCGATCATATTGATCGTAAACAATGAATCACAGGTGCGTGGTGACGATGGCTACGGTAGGCTATGGTGATCTGGTGCCAACTACAGTAGCGGGAAAAATGATAGGAAGTGGAGCGATTGTATGTGGCGTAATGGTGCTCGCATTACCCATTACGATAATGGTACGTCTCAACTATATCCTTCAAAAGTAATCGATATCGATCAATAACTATTCATTTAAGGTAAACAATTTCATGCAAGTAGTGAAGTTGCGGGAAGAGAAAATTGTCAAAAAATATGCTCAACAGCACGGTGATCAAGTCTGAATAGGTATAACGGAAGCAAAGCACGCGACTAGGTGAGCATAGGGCTATATTTGTAGCAATGGGCCCAAAAACTGGGTTTAGACCCTATTATTCCCATTTCAGGCTGTTCAGCGTCGTCGTTTATGCCTTTTGCACTCTGCGACGTGGGATTACGTGCCGAATCAACCGCATTACAGAATCTCCGATCAAATTCGGACTTGCATTCAACGTCTGGCTCAACGCCCACAAACCAGTGCAGGAACTCCGCCCCTGTGCGGGACACTCCGCCCATTCGCTAGTGATAGCTCTGTGAAGTGCCAAATCATATCAAGTGGAATTTGAACATAACGCAGTTTGTTCTACTCTCCACAAAAAACGATCTTCTCTCACTGTCTTTGAAATTTGTCACCTGTACAATGTCTGAACTCTAGTGATACATTTTCCCTTTGAAAATCAACTGGTGTACACAATTTAAATATGATAAATAAACAAAGGTATTCTTTTTCTACTCAGCTGAGATCCGTATTTCGAAGCCGCTAACGAGCAAGCAGTGAAAAAAAAAGGTGCAGTTCGGCGACGGCGAGGGGGGGGGCATTTTGCACTTTGTGCTTCACTAGTTCCGGTTTACAAGTCTCACTCAGTGAAACCTGTGAACTCTTGTGAAGTGGAGCAAGCTCGTCTAGTCACCACTATTTCATTACTTTGCAGTAATTGGGAGGCACTCTTCACAAGAATTGATTGGTGGTCTCTACAAAAAGGCTGTTATCATTTTGTGGCTTCACAAGATTTCACAGGTGTCCACTTGATGGCTCGACATATCGATGGGAAGTGGCAAAAGTGCAGGATGCCCCTCCTTCCACCCCTCCCCCCATTCCTCGAACTGTGCCAAAAAAAAGACCAGAAGCGAAAACGGCACCTTCTTGTGTAGACGGAAGGGAGAAAACTGGAAACGTGAAGTCGACTTAGTTTTGTAGACCAGTAGGTAAAGCCACAGTCTCCGCCGACTTTATGGGCGGAGCCACTCTGGACCATTGCGCTTTCCTCACTGGTGCGTTCCTCTCGCTCGACATCCTAAAAAGGGATCCAACAATGAGAAGAATGTAGTTAACGCTATCCACCTCGAAGGGGGAGCTTTTGCCTGCAGACAGGTAATCCGTCTATACTCTCACTAGACAAAAGAACCCAGACTGGACAAAGTCGATCGTTCACCTATAGCGGCTCACCTTGCAGAGTTCACACCTCGCAACTCTGAAAAATGAGGAGTTCCTTGCCGGGGCTTTTAGGATTTCCGTTGCGGGGTTTTTGAGGAGGCACGGTAACGACGCTATAAATCTCCAGCATAGGTTAGGCTCCAGCCTCATTGGTTTTCCACCGTTCGCCGAGATCCCCAGATCGATTGGCCAAGACCTACATCTGATTGGGAAACCTACAAAGGAACTATCAATTATTTTACGCATTCCTCATTCCGACAGTGCCACAGAACCTTTTAAAGGCAGAAAATACGATGAGTCGTTGGTATCGGGGTCGAAAAAAGTATACGTGCCAACTGACTCGCTCGTGAATAAAAAATCAGAAGGAATAGTCGAAAATGCTCAAAATCAGGCTTTCCCTATGCCAAGCGAAAGATAAAATGTTGATGTGGTTGTCGGGCGAGAAGCAAGTGCAATGAGAGAGCACGCAATGGAATTAGACAAGCAACACGATATCTATCAAGGTGGGCGGAGTCACTGACTCTTTTGGCGGAGTCACTTCCACAGCCTTGTACCTTACCGCCGCTCCTCAAGAACTTCCTGACGCGAGACTTGTATAGGGTTGGTTGTTGCGGTTTCCACAATCTTCCCTTAGCTATGATACCTCCAGGCGATTGTGGGCTATGAATTTATATGCCTTCTTTCGAAAAAAGCTTCAACTTTTCTGAGTTATCCATTCAGAAATTGATCTCGCTCAACGATTGGCCTCAATTTTTGGCCTGAAATCTGCACGGATACACTTGTCACGAGGCTCTGGGTTTACGAAGCTGGGTTGGGTAACGGCTAGTGGTACGGCATAACGCCTGCGAGGAAAACAGTTTCTCTTTGCTTTTTCAGACTCCGCTATTTTCATGTTTATTGATTCGATGCGGCATATTATATATCAGTTAATAATGCAATTAATCTTCTACATAAATCAAATTAGATCCTGCTAGACAAAAACCATGAAGTGATCACCAGTCCCGTACGTAATATTGCATGAAGAGATTTGAAGAGATGAGTAGAACAAGCACCAAACAGTCAAGATATGCAGATGAACCCACCATCCCAGATCAATATCATCATAAACAAATCAATAAGTAGAGGTAATCACTTCGATAGAATAGAGCACATCACCGCCTCAACCTTCAGAAAGCAATCTTATATCAGAAATATTCAAATATTACAAGATTTTGACACTGAGATCAGAACTGATATCCAAACAACTCAAGAAGAAAAGAAATCAGGGAATTTACTGGCCGGGTGATAAATAAGTCCCATCGAGGGGGGGGGAAGTCGGATTTCGTACTTCAGCAATTAAATTTGGGTATCCACCAGCAGTAAGCCAACTGGTCAGCATTTTGGCTTTGAATTCTGATAGTTCTTTGGATACCAATTCATACAGGAAAGCCATCAATACATTGAGGCCTTGATAAGTCAGCTATTGAAATTGAAACTATAGTTACCAGTACCTACACATATATAAAACTTATTATTGGTCATCTTCAATCCAGCTCGAATTATTGGTCATCTTCAATCCAGCTCGAATTTATATCGTCTTCATGTTCTGATAGAGTTTCATGCATAGAGCGGAACTTTTCGCGCAAAGCATTTGCTAGGTAGTTGCCCTGTAATTGATTTTACAATGACACACAAACTTTGGCCTTCGAAATTCGGAAGGAAAACATCAACAAATAGTACCAGACCTCATCCTTCGGTGGTAACTTTGATTGTCGGACAAC